TTTATCTGCACAGCTTCTTTGGAATCCAGTTGTTGATCCTGCTTCCTCCCAAACAGCCTTTCAGATGGCCCTTGGCTACCCTCTGCAATCTGAGGGCTCATACCCAGCACTAGTTCTAAATCTACAATGCGATGAGAATGGGATGAGAACCCATGATGACTCCCAGGCAGAAGGTGGTGCCACCAAATGAAGAAGGGCACACAGGAACAGTAGTTGGTTTGGGGGAAGATAATGTGATCCATTTAGGGCATGTTGCATCCAGGCAAATGTTCAACAGACAGCTGGATCTGTAAGTCTGAAGCTCTGGGGAGAGGTATGGATTGGAGGCACAGATTTAGAAGTCATGAACAAAAAGGTAGAAAATTAAATGATAAAGGGAATAAGACTACCCAGGCAGAGTGTGCAGACTGAGAGGAGTGATGATATGGAGGCCCTTGGGAACCTTAGCATTATAGGGAAGTTAGAGACAGAGTAGCTGATGGGAAAGGTGGGGAAGTAATAAAGCAAACTAGGCAAAAGCAGCATCACAGACGGCAAGGGAGGAAAAGGAGATGATCAGAAGTGTCCAGAAAAGCAGAGAGGTCTGAAGAGACAAGAACCAAAAATGTCCATTAGAAGTGAAAACCAGAAGGAAATTGGGGGAGTTCTAGTTACAGCATCTTAGTAGGATGGCAAGGGTGGTGTTGGTGAGGAAGTGGAGTCATTGAATATGGACTGTGCCTCCAAGCAGTGTGACAATGAAGGGTGAAGGAGAGAAGTTAGACTGTAGGTACAAAGGAAGGGACAAGGGATCAGCAGTAGATTCTCTCTTCCCTATGTGAGAATCTTGAGCACATGTACAACATGATAATAGTGATGCGAAGGCTGAGGATATCTAGGGGAGATTTTTGAAGGTAAACTCCATGAAGGGAGCACTTTGTTTCATTCATTGCTGTGTCCCTAGCACCTGGCACATAGCAGACACTCAATACAGATTTGTCAAATGTGTGATTATATCATTGAGAAACTATAATTGACTGTGAGTAACAAAAGACAGAAAAACAGTGAGTTTCATTTTCCTGCCCAAGCAATGTCAATATTCCAGGCAGGGGGAGGTGAAGAGAAGAAGGCCCTCCTTTAAAAGACGATTTCCAGAAGCCTTACCCTATGACTTCTGCTGATACCTATCTGGTCAGAATTGTGTCACATGTCCAGCCCATATATAAGGGAAATATAATTTTTCAGCCAGGCATTATCACCTTAAGCAAAATTGGGTATATAAGCATCAAGTTCAGTCACAGTGACAGAGCCTAGTCACTCAGTGCTAGGCAGTGTCTATAGAATGGATCAGAGAGTGCTTTATTCTTGTGGTCTTTCTTATGCTTCATGTTATTGATTTACTAGGACTCTTAGGCAACAAGGTGATAAAAATGCTGGGGAGGTGCTTACTATGGTCTGAATGTTGTCTGAAAATTCATACGTTGAAATCCTCATCCCCAAGGTGATGGTATTAGGAGCTGGGCCTTTGGGAGGTGATTAGGTCATGACTGGGATCAGTGCCCTTATGAGAGAGACCCCCAAAAGCTAGCTTGCCTCTTCTACCATGTGAAGACACAGCGAGAAGTTACCGTCTGTGAGTCAGGAAATGGGCCCTCACCATACACCAAACCTGCCAGGGCCTTGATCCTGGACTTCCCAGCCTCCAGAACTGTGAGAAATAAGTTTCTATTGTTTATAAGCTACACAGTTGATGTGTAGTTGTAACACAGTTACAACAGCCAGAATGGACTAAGAGAGTACTGATCTCATATTCTTGGAGTGAACCTCATAGGGAAAGAAAAAAATACCATCTGGGACAGGGTGTTCTACAAGCCCTACCATGTAAGCTGATGTGGTTGAACTACAAACTGTGGTCAAAATGTGGAGATCTGTGGAATTGTCAACCAGGGGAAAGATGAAAAATTAAAGTTAAAATCATAGTGCTTCTGGAAGAATACACACCAAATTGTTAATAGCAATTACCCTTGGGTAGAGGGATGGGGCAGATTGCAGGTAGAACTTTACCCTGTATTTCATATAAGTACACAGTTATTACTTTTTTTATCTTAAAAAAAAAAAAAAGAAACCCTAAGTGTTCTATGTCTGATTCAGAACTACCAGGGCTATAAAATTGACTGAATTAATAAAATTGAATGAGTACAAATTTTCCTGAAGTCATTAATTTACCACTTCATTATATCCACTTCAATATGGGGGAATTTTACATCAAGATGAAAAGATTTGTTCAGGAATTCTGTTTCTTCTGATTGAGCCTAGTAAGACTGTCTGTTTCTAAGAATTTGTCCATTTCCTCCACGCTTTCAAGTTTATGTGCATAGAGATTTTTGTAGTATTCATAGATGATATTTTGTGTTTCTGTGGTATCCGTTGTAATTTCTCCTTTTTCATTCCTGATTGAGCTTATTAGAGTTCTTTCTTTTCTGCTTCTTGTTAATCCAGCAAGAGGCATGTCAATTTTGTTTATTTTTTCAAAGAACCAACTTTTTGTTTTGTTAATCTTCCATACAGTTTTTTGTTATCAATTTCATTTAGTTCTGCTCTGATCTTTCTTATTTCTTCTCCTTTGCTGGATTTGGGGTTCGTTTACTTATCCTTTTTCAGTTCTTTGAGACAATTCAGTAGATTGTTGATTTGTGATCTTTCTGTCTTTTGGATGTAGGCATTTATGGATATAAATTTTCCTCTGAGGACTACTTTAGCTGTGTCCCACAGATTTTGATAACTTGTGTCTCTTTTATTGTTTAGTTCAGAAATCTTTTGAATTCCATCTTAATTTCTTCCTTAACCCAATAATCGTTCAGCAGAAGGTTGTTTAGTTTCCATGACTTTGTGTAGAGATGAGTTTCTGTTGGGGTTGATTTCTAATTTTATTCCACTCTGGTCTGAGAAGATGGATGGTATAATTTCTATTTTTTTTAATTTGTTGAGACCAATATCAAGTATCGAAATTGAAGCAGCAATAAAAAACCTTCCTAAAAAGAAAAGTCCCTCAACAATCTTTTTTGTTATTAAAACTTTTTATTATAGGTAGAGTGAATAATATCATGAACTCCCAGCTTCAACTATTATCAATATCTGTCTATACTTGTTTGAATTCTTCTCTATACTTTTTTCTAAAGTTTGTTGAAGCAGATGACAGACAACATTTCATTTCACCTTACATAGTTCCCTATGGATCTCTAACACATAAGAACTTCATTTTAACAAAATCACAATGCTGTGATCAAAGCCAACAAAAGTAACTATAATTCCTTGATATTATTTAATACCCAGTCTCTGTCCACTTCCCCCCAATTGTTACAATGGATTTCTTCAGATGAAAATCAGAATCCACACATGGCATCTTACTGGTGTATGTCTTGGGTCCCTCTAATATGAAACCCTTGGGTTTCATCTCTAATAATCTCAGCGAGGTAGTCAGGAAGGGAGCTAGCAGGACTTGGTAGTGACCTGCCCTGGGCGTACATGTTCACCTGCCTGCTTCCTCCCTTCCTACCCACCCTGCTCCGTCGCACCCTCCTATGGGAAAAACAGGAAGTATGGTGCTTTGCCAGTGCACTTGGAAGCTTTTTCCAAGGAGTTTGAAAAGAAGTCCTGGTAAGACCGATGCCTAGGCCCAGTGCTCAGGTTAAAGAGGGAAGACACTTCTCAGTGGTTTGAATGGTAGTTTTGCTGCTCTTTCCTCTGGGAAGTTTCTCTGGTCTGCTTTGCATCTCTAACACATAACAAAGCCTTTCATTGGCCATTTAGGACAACCGCATTGGCATGTAGAGAGCCAAGGCTTGTTGTCCAAACAGAGCTTGTTAAAGTGCACATGCCCAGGATTCACTCTAAACCTACTCAAGAGGTACACTGGAGTTTGAAAACCACTGTCTTAAAGCTTAGAACTCAGCTTTAAGTCTTACAGGATTAGTGATTCGATCAGCTTTGAAACATGAAGAGTGAAGTTAAGCAGGAGTTGAACTTGGTTTCCAGAAAGCAAAGTATTCACATCCGGCTCTGGGGTTGGAGGCATCAAACTTGTGGGCTTCCACATTCCCTGCCTAGGTGGAAAATGCATGCACAATTTTTTTTTTGAGACAGAGTCTCACTGTGTTGCCTGGGCTAGAGTGCCGTGGTGTCAGCCTAGCTCACAGCAACCTCAAACTCCTGGGCTCAAGCGATCCTCCTGCCTCAGCCTCCCGAGTAGCTGGGACTACAGGCATGCACCACCATGCCCGGCTAATTTTTTCTATATATTTTTAGTTGTCCAATTAATTTCTTTCTAATTTTAGTAGAGACGGGGTCTTGCTCTTGCTCAGGCTGGTTTCGAACTCCTGAGCTCAAACAATCCGCCCGCCTCGGCCTCCCAGAGAGCTAGGATTACAGACGTGCATGCACAGTTTTGAGCTGCCCGTGGGCTGGGGTTCTCAGAACAATGCTGTCAGTTGGAGAATCTACAAGGTAACTTCTCTCTGACTCCTGCCAGCTGCAACTTTAAAACAAAGATGATGCAACTGGCTGAATCTTCCATGAGAGAGTAGTGTGGAACAGAAGAAGAGACACAACCAGTCCGAAAATGACACAAAAGGAAGAAGACGTGAACAATGATGAGGAAGTTCGGCAATGTCTACAAAGCCCTGAGGTGAACAGACAGGCACTCCGGGCACGCAGCCTTCCTTCACGCTCTGGCAGCTGTGCTGTTTTCCTTCCTCCAGGAGTCTAGTTCGGTGTCACTAAACCAGCAATCAGAATCACTTTGGCATATTTAACGTAACCATGAATTTATTTGTGATTGACAAACCTTCGATTTTCTCAGATAATTTTGTTTCTGAAAGCAACCTTGCAGAAGAGGTCCTGTGATCAGAAAAGGAAGGGAGGGGATGGTTTCAAGCATACAGGAGATCAGCTAGTGTCTGTGTGTGTATATATAACTACAAACATTTATGTATATTTTAAATACTTTTTCTTATCAATTTCAGCTTCCCACACTCCTGGACAGCAGTTCTCAAGGTATTAATCTGAGATCCTGGGGAAGAATATTATCTGATATGTTGCCAAGAATTCAAGAGGTGAGCAGCCTAATGTAGTTATTCTGATTTTGTTATGTCTTTCCACCATTTACCATGCTTATTATGTCAGGTAATTTAATTGTACCTCAAACCTGTTGAAGGAGAAACACATTTGACTTTTCCATGTAGCGATTCCAAAGCACCTGTTCATATCCTAAATTATCTGTGCTCCTGGGCAGGAGACAAGAAGAAAGGGAACCATCTTTCTGATTTCACACCGAGGAAGCAATGCTACTGGAAGTAAGCAACTAATCTGGTGTGGCACAAATACCAGAGGACTTACAGTTGAATCTAAGTCCTTACAGTACTGAGGGGTCCATTATTCTATTATAGTCTTAAAATCCACATAAACGTATACCACCAGTAATAACAGCATACACCTTTAGTGCTTACAGGCACTGTTCTAAGTGCTTTACCTACATTGACTCATTTCATCATAAGGAAAATAATTGACTTTTTGGGTTGTTTTGTAAAAGATGCGCACATTTTAATTAACATCAGGTTGAGTAAGTCTTTTACCATATAGCAATTGATTCTTCCACTCAATAGATGAGAGGTGTGGGGGATATAATGATCAACAGGTAGATTTGCTCACTCCCCAGTGGGAAAGAGAGAGGTTAAAAAAGCAATTCTCCTCAAGCGTGATGAGTATTATGAATGTGAGGCAAGAGGTGAAACATAATTTTCCCCAAGCTCTTTTCCCCTTCAGTATTCCCAGCTGACTTGGGCTCAACCATCCTAGGAAATGGCATGGTTGGAATCTGTCTTTGTAAAACTGGGCAGCTAAATTTGGGCAGAGTATGCACACTGCTGTGCCCAAAAGTTAGAGAAGGGCCCTTTGTACTGGTAACCACCTGCTGCAGTGGGAGTCTCTGTTTAACATTCTTTTCTTCATAGCATTTAAAAAATTCATATCAGTATAATAGGGTTGAAGTTGATAGAGAATGTAGAAAAATCTCCAAAGCATATCAACACTCTTAGTTCTGAGTGGGAGTTCCAGAAGGTTTCTTGCCTGACTAGATAGGAAGTCTAATCATTTGTGAACTAGGTTGAAGCAGATGTCCCAGTTTATATTAATTGATATTAGACCATTTGACCATGGAACAGCCCCCTTCATCTCCAAGTGCTTTGACTAAATGAGCAACATAATAATGGTAATAACCCCTTACAAGACTGTCATAAGACTCACTGTTGTTGAAGCAATTTGAGATTCTGACTTTTTTATTGAAGCGTAGACTGTGATTATAAGGCATGACTCATTGTGTGGATTCTACCTGGCACTCGTCAGTTTCAGAGGGCAAGTGTTGGCATGTGGACAAAGAGAGGGATGACAGGTAAACATCGCTTATCGCAGTGGGAGAACTGTTTTCAGTCTCACCTGATTGAATCCTAATGGTTTTATAAATTCTCAAGTGCTTTTGAAAGTGTGTTTGGGGAATAAAAGCAGTTTTATTTATTTATTTATTTATTTATTTTGAGACAGAATCTCACTCTTTTGCCCGGGCTAGAGTGCTGTGGCATCAGCCTAGCTCACAGCAACCTCAAACTCCTGGGCTCAAGTGATCCTTCTGCCTCAGCCTCCCGAGTAGCTGGGACTACAGGCATGTGCCCGGCTAATTTTTTCTATGTATTTTTAGTTGTCCAATTAATTTCTTTCTATTTTTAATAGAGACGGGATCTCGCTCTTGCTCAGGCTGGTCTCAAACTCCTGAGCTCAAACAATCTGCCCGCCTCGGCCTCCCAGAGTGCTAGGATTACAGGCGTGAGCCACCACGCCTGGCCAGCAGTATTATTTTTATTTTGCATTTTCCCCTAAAGCAAAGCCAAATGTCATTATAGGAGCCAAGATGCTGGCAACTCTGACAGCCCTCACCTCAGTTCTCAGCATTACAGATCTACCTTGAAAGGACAAGGCCAGTGAGTGGTATGGGTACCCACATGGACAGGATAAGGCCACCAGCCTCTTCTTGGTTGGCACAGAACTTAAAGCATATTTTTCCAAGAATGGAGACCTCATCTGTTCTATATTTGCTAGAATTTTAAAACATAGACACACACACACACACACACACACACACACACACACACACACAGGGAAACCATAAAGCACACATTTCAGGGAAATGGCAGAAGTCACATTTGGTAAAATTAAGCTAATAAGATAATTTTCCAAATATAAGAAATTAAATTCTAAACTATTTGGCCAAAGAAATATATTTTGACCATTCCTTTCTAGAACAGAACCATTCCCCTTTCATTTCTCAATTTTTTTCCAGTATCCCCCATCTTGGTGGGGTCACAGAACTGGTTTGTAGTAAAATATTCTGCATTTCCCTGAGGACACATATCCAAGGAAATCCAACAAAGGGAACTGGGAGAGCGGCAATATGAAAATGCTTTGCGGTTGACTCTTTAATTTTGTTTAAGGCTCATCCTAGTTTTCTTCTGGTTTCTGAGTAGATGGCAATAGGTTTTGGTTTTTTGTTTTTCACAGCTAGATTAACAATTGCTGAGAACACGACTGTTGTCTTTTAAATGTTGAGGTCAAACATATATGTGGAATCCTCCCCATATTGGAGCTTTGTCTTCACAGTAGATTATGATTCTTGGCTGCCTTGAAATAACCCGAAGCGTTTGCCTTGCCTAGTTTATCCACCGGCCGAGTGTTCAGGGCTTGCTGTGGGCGACCAGACCCCTCACGCAGAATGGTGGCCCAGAGACCTTTATTCAGCTGACGGGCATCCTGTCGGACCTCCTGTGTGGGTACCCAGAGGGAGGTGGCTCTCGGGTGTTCTCCTTCAACTGGTATGAAGACAATAACTACAAGGCCTTCCTGGGGATTGACGCCACAAGGAAGGATCCTATCTATTCTTATGACAAAAGAACAAGTAAGTTTTCTGAATCCTGCATGCAAATTGGCCTGTGATGTTGGTTAAGCTAATGGTTTAACACTTCTGGGTGAAACCAATCCTTGGTCTTATTGAGTGGCCTTGGGCAAAGAAATTTCTCCCAGAAAGTCCATTTCCCCTTGTAGAAACAGGGCAGTGCTCATAAAGAATTCTGGACATGAGCCATGGAAAGAACTGAGGCCTACTTGGAAAGGGAACAGAGGGGATGTTTCCCACTGATGTAATTGAACTAGGGTTAAATCCTAGAGGAAGAGAAGCATGATAAATGAGGAAGCAACCCAGAGTTGCAGGCGAAGCTCAGGTCAGAAGGGCCCTGGTAAGTAAACACAGCGGTGGGATGTTTTTACAAAAACTGTGCAATGAAAACCTGTGTGTGTGGTACTGAATTACATTCCAAATGGCAAGGCCCTGTCAGGTAATCTTCCCTACCTTTCACTATTTTGGGGGGCTCCTGTAGGGTAAAGGAGTATGGGATGGAGAAGAAATGCAACTGGGTGACCCTCTAGTTAAAAATTGAAAAGAGGCAACACAGGACACACCAAAAGTAGTTGGGCCCTAAGATAGCCGGGCACAGCAAAGAAGTTAAGCAGCTAATTGAAGGGAAATTATTGAGGCTCAAACTGAGATTCCTGGGAGGAGGGTCCTTGTTTGGCCTCTCAGTCCCTTTCATCTGAGAATGGCCTCTGTTCTTTGCAGTAATCACAAGCAGGCTTCTCAGCCTCCTTCTAAAGCAGAATAAGCCACAGGGCAAGCCTCGTCCTTTGTTTCTCTGATGAGGCCATTATCGAGAGGCACTGTGGCATTTTGTTACTAATGATGAGATTGTTATTGGTGGGGTACAGCCTATTCATTTAGGTTATTCGTCAAATCCTCCAGCATGGAGTTGAATGAGACACGTGATGTGGATACATTAATGACTACGTTTAGTTATGAGCAACAGGGAGTTTCTGTAAAATCTGTGTCTTCTCTCCTGGCAGCGTCCTTTTGTAACGCATTGATCCAGAGCCTGGAGTCAAACCCTTTAACCAAAATAGCCTGGAGGGCAGCAAAGCCTTTGCTGATGGGAAAAATCCTCTTCACTCCCGATTCGCCTGCAGCCCGAAGGATACTGAAGAATGTAAGACCCCAGCTGGTCTTGCCCCTTGGACCTTGGACCTCCCGGAAGAATGCTTGTGTGTGTGCATGTGTATTTTTTAATGTGCCCTCCTGGCAGCAAGTCTCATGTTGTTTTTGCTAAGTGGACTCTAGGGTTTCCTCCCCCATCTGCAGTCATCATTGGAATGCTTTGCTCCAGTGCCCCTGCCTGGGCCCTCCCTCTCCATTGCAGCCGACAATGAGGTTTTCTTTCCCACTGCTTGAGTTATATCCCTAATGGAGGGGTTCACAATTCTCTGAATCCTGGCTACCCGGAACAGACACAGATAGGGAGGGAGGGAGGGAGGGAGGAAGAGTATTTGTTCATAGGGAGTTCAAATCTAACTTTAATGAGGTTCTGAGACAATAACATCATCAATATTACATGTACTCTGAGATGCTAAGAAATTAGGTTTCGTCCATCCGGGAGGCTGGGAAATGGCAGACTGTTCTGGGAAATGTTGGTGAGACTGAGAAAATAAAAACACTTCCTTGAAAAACTTTTCCCTAACATTAGGGGACCAGGGCAGGAAAGATACAACCAAAGGTTCTCTCTCACTTCTTTCTCTTTGTTCTTGTCTCTGTCTCTATCTCTCTGTGGTTTTAGGCCAACTCAACTTTTGAAGAACTGGAGCGTGTTAGGAAGTTGTTCAAAGCCTGGGAAGAAGTGGGGCCCCAAATCTGGTACTTCTTTGACAAGAGCACACAGATGACCATGATCAGAGTACGGATGGGTTAGAGGATGGATGGGGAGGGGAGGGGAGGAAAAGGGCCTCGAAAGTTCCATTTGTTTCCTTTTCCCACGAAAAAGCTCATCGCCACTGGAGTTAGATAAAAATACAACAAGCAGAGCCCAGAGGTCCTAGTTCCAGAAGCTGTCACCAAGTGGAGGCACTGACTTTGGATGGAAAATATGTTTCTTGAATTTTAGGGGAAAAATCTAAAAACTGCTACAAGACCAGTGGCTTCCTGGAGTTTCTTGTTTTAATGAATTAACTTGAGGGCTTCAGATTCAACCGGGCATCTCCCCAAGGGGCCAGCTCTGTAACTGCAAAGATGGTTGAAGGTCTCATTTCCAGCTTCACAAAGCCAAGACAAGAGTCCCATATAGCAAGAATGATCAAAAGAGAACCAAAAAGTCCATAAGAAAAAGAAAGCTTATTATATACCATTTTCATGGCCCCCCTCCCACTCCCTGGCCCCATATACATCTTCCCTCTATTGGGGAAAATGGGATATAGATAGGTCTGCCTTATAGTGGAAGAAAACCCACTAGCTTTTTAGGAAGAGTCTCTATCCTTAACCATTAAAAATAAAAATGAGCTAAGAACAAAACCAAAGATCCTGGAATTTCTAAGCTGTGACTGTATTTCTTCTTCCCAAGGACACACTGGCGAACCCAGCAGTAAAAGCCTTTTTGAGCAGGGAGCTTGGCGAAGAAGGTATCACTGCTGAAGCTATTCTAAACTTCCTCTATACGGGTTCTCCAGAGAGCAGGGATGACGACATGGCCAACTTCGACTGGAGGGACATATTTAACATCATGGATCGCACCCTGCGCCTGGTTAATCAATACCTGGAGGTAAGAGGCAGAAAGCCACCTGAAGGCCACAGTGGACCCCTTGAAGACAGCCCCACAGGTGGGGCCAGAGATCCCTTAGCAAGTCAAGTGGTGATGGATTTAAGCTTTCATTTTCTCCACTGAAGAAACAAAAATTCCCATAGCCCCGAACAGATCCTGTCCTCTAACAACTTTCCACAATTGAAGTGGTTTCCTCCCCACATCCTCCTCCCTTGTAGTCCTGAAAGCATCCATGTCTGTCTTCAGCCATCTCCTGTCTGCCATTGTTTCAGTGATGTCTGTGGCCAGTGCGTGTCCACTAAACCTCGAGTTCTGAGGTCCCACTGCTTGCTGGACCCTCTGCCCCCAGGTTCTACAAGCACATCAGACTCAACATGTCCAAAAATCAAATTTATGTTCTCCCTCCCCGTAAAACCTATCCTCCTCCTGCATTTCTATCCTGATTAATGTCATCAGCATTTGCCCAAATTCTCAAGCTAGGAATTTTAGGGTCATCCTTAATTTTCTTTCTTCTTCACCCTCCACAAAACAATCATTTATTGAGTGTTACTTTGTGCCAAACGCTGTGCTAAGTGCTTTTACATACATCGGCTGTCTTTAATCCTCACAACTCTGAAATGCACACTGTTATCGCTGTCAATTTACAGGTGCAGAAGGTGAGGCTTAAGAAGGTAAATAAGATTCCGTGTCACAGCTGTTAGGAATAGCGAGCAGAATCCAGACCTGGGTGTGCCTGAATCCAGAGCCTGCCCTTCTGAGCCCCCTCACAGAACTCTGACTCCTCTACCTCTGAAATACCTCTCAACTCTGCCTCTTGCTTTCCAGGCTTTCTGAGGACTAGAGACTTTGTCATCTCTGTGCTAGCCTTTTCTAGGGGCTTCCTGCCTGGACTCCAGGTCCAGCCTCTGTTGGCCCAGGCATTCCTACATGCTGACACCAGAGTTCCATTCCAATCACACGTCTGCTTGCATTGCTGTCCCATTTATAATCTTAATGACTCAATCCCCAAAGAACATGAGTCTGCCCCACCCCACCTGCCCAGAGCTTGCTGCACACCCTGGGCTGTGCTACATTGGCCCTCTCACACCCTCAGGCATTCTGTAATTCCCGGGGTTCCACGCTCTGCAAATGCCATTTTCTTTGCCCATTTAGTAGAACTCTTTTGGTCACAGGCTTTTTTGCTTGAACAAAAAGAATTCATGGCTGACATAAGCTTGAAGTTCGGGGGGTCTAGGAGCTAAGTGCCACTGTGAGACCCCATGTCCTCCGTCTCATGCCTCAGCTTGCCCCTGCCCAGCTGCGTCCTTGGCCAGGCCCTCTCCGTTGGTGGTGCCTCAGCTGCTCACAGCCCCAGTGGTCCTCTGTACACCAAAAATTCTGCAGAGAGAGGGAGTGGCTTTCCCACAGCAGAAGCAGTACTCCCAGAGAGTTCCCCCCTGGGCCTGGCCCCTGCATCCCTCCCTGAGCCTCTCAGGGGGTTGTGTGCTCTGCTGGGGAGGCCAAGGCCATCTGCCCGCCATGGGGGGCATTCCTATGAGCAGGATTACTGTGAAGTGGGGGAGGGTGTTTCCAAAAGAAGAAATGCAAGGTAGAAAAGTGTTTGTCCGCCAGAGCCTGAAGTGACTGTCCCTTCCCCATCCGTTGAGCTTCTACTCATTCTGTTTGAGACTCGGCTCTCAAGTGTCACTTCTACTTCTACACAGGTTTAGTCATTCACTCCTCCGTGTTTCCTGGCCCTCTCTCCACACCTCTCCTAGACCCCTGTGCTAGTTAGATGGTGATGTGTCCATCCCTGGCTGAACTGCCAGACTGGGGTGACTCAGCCTCAGGGAGCATGTCTTAGTCATTTTCAAATTCTTAACCCCACACGCCCAGAGACTATCTCTGTGTAAGGGCCAATCACACTAACCTGTGGGCCAGGTCTGGGCCTCAAGTCATCTGGAACCATTAGAAGGTAGAAGGTGCTATGAGCAATAGGAGAGAGAGTTAAACTGAGAACGCTCCTATCCCAGACTTGGGGGTCCTGAGGATAACTAACTAGTGAGGAAAAGCCTGGCTCTCCCTGCACCAGGCACTCTTGAGGACACCCTGCTGCCCTGGCACCACCAGAATTTCCCCGGAGTATGTGACCCTCCCTCTCTGGAACACTGGAAGTGGCAGCACAGGCTCCCCAGGTGGCCTTTCAGAAGCAGCAGCACCAAAGTTCAGGTAATTCCCAGCTTGTGCGAAGACAAGAATGACCTTCAACGACCTTGAGTGCTTTTTTTTTCTTTTTTTTTTTGAGACAGAGTGTCAGTCTGTTGCCTAGGCTAGAGTGCCACGGCCTCAGCCTAGCTTACTGCAACCTCAAACTCCTAGGCTCAAACGATCCTCCTGCCTCAGCCTCCTGAATAGCTGGGACTACAGGCGCATGCCACCATGCCTGGTTAATTTTTTCTATTTTTAGTAGAGATGCAGTCTGGCTCTTGCTCAGGCATGTCTCAAACTCTTGACCTCAAGCGATCCACCTACCTCGATCTCCTAGAGTGCTGGGATTACAGGTGTGAGCCACCATGCCTGGACTTGAGTGCTTTCTACAAAACAGATTCCTGGACATCAACCCAGATGGGCTGACTCAGAATTTCCAGGGAAGAGGTAGTGATCTGTATGTTTACAGACCTATTAGATTTGTGGGGTCTTGGAATTCCCTTGTACAATTACTCACTTGACATCGCCCTTCTCTCATGGGGCCTCTACCTGCCGAGCTCATAACCCTGGCCAGGCCAGCACCTATCCAGTGTGCTTACAATGTAAGCAGCCCCGTGCAGGGCGTGTAGTTGGAGGAGAGGGGCTCTAGTCCTTTATTCTTGCAGAATTGAGTTCAGTTTTCACAATGTTTTGTGAAAATTTCACAATGTTTTGTGAGGTAAAGAATAATACGTCTTGTCCTTTGTTTGACTTGACATTTGTATCATGACATAAATGTCTTTTTTTCTTGAAGGATTATATTTCCCATGTAGCTTGTGCTTAATGCAGCACCAGACACCCAACATATACTTAATATACATTAAGTGCTTAAATGATTATGAGTTTGGTCTCTGGACCCAGACTACCTGGGTTTAAATCCCTGCTATTTGTGTCTCAGTTTCTACATCTGTAAAATGAGGAAATTAACGGTAGTTACCTAATAGCCTTGTTATGAGAGGTAAATGAGCTAATATATGCAAAGCACTGACATATAATAAGTGCTTAATAAATATTAACTTTTAAACAGAACACACACAAAAAAAATATCGCTTAGCAGGAGGAATGGCATTAGTGTCTCTTATAAATCAGGCCCAGCCTCCTCCTCTGGGATCATGAAGCTGCTGACCACATCCCGCCTCAGCCCCCGACTTCTGAGGGTCTCGAAGCAAAGGCCACCGTGGCATAGGCATTCCTAAGAGGGGTTTTCATGTGGCAGAAGCCCAGCAGGTATGATGATGGGTTTCTGAGCTTCCTGCCCTTGGGGGCAGGGGAGTAAGGAACTGAAAGGAGGAGATGGTAGGAAGGAAATGTGCAGTGAAGAAGAAACAAATCACTGCAATTCGTCCTGGATTTTTCTACTTTTATTCTTGTGTTTTGGGAAGGCTGGAGGAGTCTTGAAAATTCCCCCGACCCCCACCCTGAGGTTCACTCAGTAACAGACAGGGCATGAAAACCTTTGCTGATGGCTCTAGAGCTCTCTCCAGGACAGGCAAGCAAGCATGTAAGGTGGCCTGGGGCTCTCTTTCTCAATAATAGGACTTGTACTAAAGGTTTGAAAATTCCCTCCTTGGCCAGGGTCCATGCCTGCTTCCCTGCCTAGCCCAAAAAATCATTTAAGGACAATTAAGCAAAAACATTCTTTAATATGAAAATTATGTCTACCCAGGTCAATGTGGAACTCGATTGTGATATTGAAGAATAATAGAAACTCTGAGAACTGAGAGCAAACCTTTAAGTCTTTTGTCATTATAGGAAATGGGAGTGATTCAGTAGGCTCGATTACTAGAAGAGCTAAAACCCCTTCCTTCCTGCTTAGGGGGAGGCAGCCTGGAGGGTGTCCCATTCCCCTGAATCTGCCTGGCTGGTCACTTGTATGCACTGACTTAGGCTACTGCTTATGGGACCTTCTCACCTGTCCTGTGAGGACAAATGGACCAAGATCTCTGCTTCTTATCAGCTCTGTCACTATCAGAAAGTCATTTTCTCCCTTCAAGCCTCTGTTTTTTTATCTGTAAAAATCCAAATAATAATACAACGGACCTAGGGTTGGGGTTGTTGCTGAGGACAAAATGAGACAAGTGGCAGAGCATTTAGCACATCCACAACGTTTTTGTTAGCCAGACGTGGCTCCTCACCTGCCAGGTGGGGATGGCAGTGCCCTCCTCCCTGGGTGGCTGTGATGGAATGAGAGCACTGGACTCGTGGAGAAGACGTTCAGTGCGTGGCAGCTGTTGCTGTGAACCACGTGGACGTCCACCCCGAAAAACCATGGGCCAGCTGAGAAGTGTTCCTTTTTCTCAGATTCAAAAACCTTGTGTAAACGTTATCCGGGGACTGTAAAGCTACTCTGCATATCACGCTTGGTGAATTGGCGTAGGATCAAGAAGTGTCAAACCACTCCTAGAGGCCCAGGAGGGTGGCTCCGGCACCATTGTGGCACTTTTGTGGACGATGGCCCTGTGGCTCTGGAACTTTTCTCATCCTCAGACCACCTCCTCAATAAGGGCTTCTATAATCTCATTCATCTCAAACTATGTTCTGTTTTTCCTCTGCTACCCCTACCCTTAGCAGGGGGTGAGGGGGCAGAAAGATCCCCTGGTTAGAAAAAAGGTGGGCAGTGGACTCAGAAAAGGGACAATGGTGACATTTTGGGAGCCTCACAACTCACATGGGAGAGACTGATTTCTGATCACCCTCTCCTCCAAATGCAAGGAGAGCGAGGGCAAATGAGTCCTCATGTAGATAACTGTCTTAAACTGCTATGTGTATACATT